AGTATTCTTGCCTAAAGAATCCCCATGGACAGAGGAGCCTGACAGGCTACAGTCCAAAGGGTCACAAAGAGTCACACACTACTGAAGCAACTTTGCATGCACACACACCTTAAATTCCACTTATTTAATAGAATAAAATTGTACAAAACCTGGATGTCTCAGAAAATCTGGGATATGTGAGGGCTGCTAACATGGTAGAAGGAGCGATGGAATCAGGAGGTCTGAGCTTGAGATTTGCTTGCTATGTGATCACAAATCCCTTGACTCCTCTGGGCCTTGGTGGGAAGTTGTCACCTGTGTGCTGGCATTCATTGCTAATGGCATGTGGTTTTGTGGCTCTTGGCCAATCAGAAGTCCACAGATTTGACCCCGACTTGGTGAGCATGGCCAGAACTTAAGTCCACATTCCAGTCAGCACAGAGGAGTCCAACTCTGGGTGTTTAATGACCCAGAATGTCCCTAAAGGATAGTTCCTGGCACTACAAATTATTTGCCATGGGACCAATTCCACCCAGAAACTCACTGTGAACTGGGAGGCTGATGGGAAATCTCCTCACTAACCTTATGATCCCAGGAGTCAACCACAGTTCAGTCTCTGGAGTTTCCATCTGAGCCTCTTCCAGACTTAGCCTGGCTTTGGGCTGGCCAGGCACTAAGGAGGGAGCTCTTCTCCCTGGGCAGGATTGGACACAGCCTCAGAGAAGGAGGGTGCTCATAGGGGCCCATCATCCCCCCCCACCCACTGCCCTTGGCACTCCACCCTCTCCCCCATGAGGGCACCAAGTCCTGGCAGGAGACTGGCCCCAGAACCCCCAAGCTGTTTGTCCAGCTGTCTTCACATCCCCAGGCCACAGGGCTCCTATATACCTTGGCCTGGAAAATGCTGTCAGGCATCTGGATACCCACTGGGTCCCAGCCCAGAACCAACACTGGGATGGGGAGGAGGGAAGCTGGGAGAGTCCTATCTCTCTCTCTGGGCCTCCCCTATTCTATTCTGTACATAGGAGGCCAGATGGTCTCCAAGGGCTCTTTAGCTGGGCAGTCCGCTCCTCTAGAGTAGCATTTAAGAACTTGGCTTTGAAGTTAGAATAGGTTTGAACCCGTGTAAGATTTCATGTACCCCAGGATGTCAATAGACAATAAACACTCTTCTGACTTCATACACAGAAGCATAGTTTGTGGAAACTGTGAGCTGATAACAAAGCATCTTAGCTTCTTACAAGAGAAGTCAGAAATCAAACTCAACAAGACTCAGAGATTTCCGCCCAGAAGAATTGAAAAATGCCCCTTCTCTTCTCGAGCCTTCGCATCGGCTAATGGGTACAGGGCCTGGTGTATTTCCTGTAAAACTATAGGACCCTAGTAATCCATTGTGTTCAGACACACGCCAAAATCTCTGAAGTGGGTCAAAGGAGCAATCAATAGGCAGCAGATTACAGAGAGGGACAGTCGGAGACCCCAAATGGAAACACATCATAAAGGGCAATAAAAGTCTCTCGTGGTAACCCAAGCCCAGTAATCGAGCTAAAACACGGTGGGAAAGGGTGTTGGCCTGGACACAGGAGGACCAGAGTCCTGATTCAGCCACTCTGGGGGCAAAACTGGCTGTGTAGGCAAAACTAGGGGAAGACCTGAGCATTCTGGGGTCCGAGCTCCTCAGGGGAGGAAGAGGAGGTCTCATTTTCAGCTCACAAAAATTTCCCCATTCGAAAAAGCCTGTGGGGGTTCCTAGAAATATGTTGATAGGAATCAGGTGTCTGACTGCACTGTCCTTTGCCAAGCAGGTATGGGATTGATCACTATACAAAAGTCTGAGGGCATCTTCTAAGGTAGGGTTTCTGATCATTACTGACATTTTAGCTCCAAAAAATAACTGGTTATGGGGAGCTGGCCTGTGCGCTGCAGGATGCTCAGTACCATCCCCGGACTCTCCCCACCAGGCGCCAGTGGTGTCACCATCACCCCCACTGGTGACAACAAAAATGTCTCCAGACGGGGCCAGATGTCCCCTGGGAAGCAAGCGTGTGCATTAGTCGCTCAGTCATGTCCGACTCTTTGCGACCTCATGGACTATAGCCCACCAGGCTCCTCTGTCCATGGGATTCTCCAGACAAGAATACTGGAGTGAGTTGCCATTCCCTTCGCCTGGGGATCTTCCTGACCCAGGGATCAAACCTGCATCTCCTACATTGCAGGCAGATTCTTTACAGTCTGAGCCACCAGAGAAGCCTCCCTGGGGGGCAAAAATCTCCCCCAGTGGGGAATTCACTGTTCTGGGGGTAAGGTGTCCCAGGCACATTTTCTCTCTAAACTCAGTGTGATAGTCTCGCCTTTGGACAAGAAACAAATAATAACAGCTCATGATCATTGAGCCACAGGGCAGGGATCGCCTTAAGATCTTCACCTGTATTTGCTCATTTAACCCTCCAATGAGGCAGACACAACTAGTATCCCCACCTTGCAAACAAGGACACTGAGCTACAGAGGAGTTTAGCAACTGGCCCACAGCCAGTAAGTGTGAAGTGAGGACTTGGATCCAAGTTCTCTGACTCTAGAATCCATGTTTTATATAATATACACTGTGCAAAGTAAAGGCAAGAAGCTGTAAACCCAAAATCCATACATATTTTGGGCTTCTCCTGTGCGTCAGCTGATAAAGAATCCGCCTGCAATGCAGGAAACCTGGGTTTGATACCTGGGTGGGGAAGATCCACTGAAGAAGGGAAAGGCTACCCACTCCAGTATTCTGTCCTGGAGAATTCCATGGACTGTACAGTTCATGGAGTCACAAAGAGTCAGACACAACTAAGTGACTTTCACATATGTATTTTACCCTAACAGCATATCTCAATTTCAGTTCAGTCACTCAGTCGTGTCCAACTCTTTGCAACCCCATGGACTGTAGGACGCCAGGCTTCCCTGTCCATCACCAACTCTCAGAGCTTGCTCAAACTCATGTCCATTAAGTCGGTGATGCCATCCAGCCATCTCATCCTCTGTCGTCCCCTTGTCCTCCTGTCTTCAGTCTTTCCCAGCATCAGGCTTTTTTCCAGTGAGTCAGTTCTTCCCATCAGGTGGCCAAAGTATTGGAGTTTCAGCTTCAGCATCAGTCCTTCCAATGAATATTCAGGGCTGATTGCCTTTAGGATAGACTGGTTTGATCTCCTTGCAGTCCAAGGGACTCTCAAGAGTCTTCACCAACACCACAATTCGAAAGCATCAATTCTTTGGCACTCAGCTTTCTTTATAGTCCAACTCTCACATCCATACATGACTACTGGAAAAACTATAGCTTTGACTAGACGGACCTTTGTTGGCAAAGCAATGTCTCTGCTTTTTAATATGCTGTCTATGTTGGTCATAGCTTTTCCTCCAAGAAGCAAGCGTCTTTTAATTTTATGGCTGCAGTCACCATCTACAGTGATTTTGGAGCCCAAAAAAATAAAGCTGATCTCAATTTGGATCAGCTCAAGTCAAGCACTCAGTAGTAGCTAGCAGCTACCATATTGGATGCTCTCTTGACAACACCAAGTCAAGATCCAACCGGTAGGATCCCATAGAAACCCACCCAATCAGAGGTTGGCAGTGCCCTGAGCATGAGAGAACTGGACTGGGGAGCCAAACTGTGGGAGGAAATCAAGTGAATGTCTTAGAATTGTGGCTAAAAGTAAAATAAGTTCATGCTTACTCTGGAGGAGGAGGAGGAGATGAAGGAGGAAAAAAAGAAGAGAAGGAAAAGAAGAAGCTATAGACAGGAGATAAGACAAAGGAAAATTTTGAATCAGGATGAACAAGAAAATAGAAACTGAGATACTGAAAGACTCAATCTACATGTATGATGTTGGTCTGCAATCCCACTGCTTCAAAAGCAGTCTTCGGCCTCTTTTTTGTCTTCCAATTGAACAAAGTTGTGGTCCTGTAAGATATAAGCAGTCAGAACTTCCCTGGTGGTCCAGTGGTTAAGGATTCACCTTGCACTGCAGGGGACATGGGTTTGATTCCTGGTCAGGGAACTAAGATCCCATATGCTGCGGGGCAGCTAAGCCCACGTGCCACAACTACTGAGCCCATGCATCACAACTAGAGAGTCCATGTGCCACAACTAAGACCCGACACAGCCAAATAAATAAATAATTTTTTAAGTTACTAAAAAAAAAATACGTAAGCTGTCCCCAGAAGACCAAAGGCCAGAGTTGCCAATATTCACAAGTAAGGATACAGGATGTCCAATTAAATTTGAATTTCAGATCAAGAAGTACCTTTCTAGTATAAGTACAGCCCATGTACTGTTAGAGATATACTTATATGAAAGAAAAAAACATTATTTGCTGATCTGAAATCCAAATTAACTGGGCTTCCTGTATTTTCTGTGGCAACTTCTCCCAAAAATGGTCCATTTGGATCCTTCCCACTAAAAAGGACAGAAGCCCCACAAGAGGCCAACACACTTCCCAGAATCCAGCCTTCCTATTAAAAGGAAGACAGAAAGGTCCCAGCCTATCCCCTCTTGCCCCCAGATGCCAGGTGGGTCCTCCCAGGACATCCGCTCACACCACCCCCACTTCAATCCACCCTCTCCTGCCCTTTATACCCACTTGGAGAAATTCCACTGATATCAGGATACTCAGAGGGTTAATCCTGCTGATACCAAGTCACACTTTAACTCATTCCCTCCAGGCCAAGGATTAAATACTACCCATGTAGGGGGTCAGGGCTACAGCAGACCCTGAAAGTGGAGCAACACCTCCCCCACCAAGTAAGGAGAAGCCGCAGAAGAAAGGGAGGGACAAAACTAGGAGAGAGAAGGAAGGAGGGGCCGCCGGGCTGGGCTGCTGTCCCCCCACAGAGCCAGCTCAGATTCAGTTCCAGGAGCGACTTGGCTGCAGAAGCCACAGCGCTCCGTCTCCTCCAGTGTAGGGCAGCAGGCGGAGGGCCACGGAGACGGAGGGCCTGGGACCGGACGTCCTCAGCCCCCAGCCAACTCGGCCAGGCCTGGCCCCATGGCCTTCAATGACCTCCTGCTGCAGTTGGGGGGCGTTGGCCGCTTCCAGAAGATCCAGATCACCCTGGTGATCCTCCCTGTGATCCTGCTGGCCTCCCACAACACCCTGCAGAACTTCACCGCTGCCATCCCTACCCATCACTGCCGCCCACCGGCCAACACCAACCTCAGTGAGGATGAGGACGCGGAGGCCTGGCTGCCCCGGGATGGGCAGGGGCGGCCCGAGTCCTGCCTCCTCTTCACCTCCCCGCAGCGGGGACCGCCCTTTCCCAATGGCACAGGAGCCACAGAGCCCTGCCCCCATGGCTGGATCTACGACAACAGCACCTTCCCTTCCACCATCGTGACTGAGGTGAGGAGCCCTGGGCCCCCAGCTCCTCCTCCCAACCCCTGTGCCCCCGCCTTACCATCCCCATACATCCCCACACACACACCCACACTCACACCCACACCCACACATACACACACACAGCTGTCTCAATGGAGAACGGGGTTCCAGATGGGGGCCTTTTTTAGAAAAGGGAATGTGGAGTTGCAAGGTCAAGAAAAGTGTCACGGCTCCCAGGACCAAAGCGAAGTGTTGGGGAAGGGGACGATACCGGCCTCAGAGAGCCAGCCAGAAGGAGGAGGGTAGGGGGCTTCCCTGCAGCCCAGGCTCGCCTTAGCCTGACCTCTGCCCCCTCTCCCCACAGTGGGACCTCGTGTGCTCTCACAGGGCCTTACGCCAGCTGGCTCAGTCCTCATACATGTTGGGAGTGCTTCTCGGAGCCATGGTATTCGGGTGCCTAGCAGACAGGTCAGTCCTAGGCAGGGCCAATGAGCCGGGCTGGGACTGGGGGCTCCTTGGCTGGGTTTGGGAGGGCCGATGTGGTGGTTGGCACCCCCAGCGGGGGCTGGACTGAGGACCTACAGCATCAGCCTCATGATATGTCACGGGTCCCAGGCCAGCGCCTCTCCCAGTGTGGCCTGTTCCCTGCTGGTCCTCAAAACCCCTGCTGCAGGCCTCCCCTCCCCTGACAGGCTGGGCCGCCAGAAGGTGCTGATCTTCAACTACCTGCAGACAGCCGTGTCAGGAACCTGTGCCGCCTTCGCTCCCAGCTTCCCCGTCTACTGTGCCTTCCGGCTCCTCTCGGGCATGTCGATAGCTGGCGTCGTCCTCAACTGCATAACACTGAGTGAGGGGGGGCAAGGAGGGCAAGGCGGGCCCCTACCTCTCCCTCCAACCACCCAGCCCCACAGCCCCTTTCCAGCCTCCTCTCCCAGCCTACCCTTCTTGCACCCAGCCCGTTCTGCCCTTGCAGCCAACATAACAGCCTTCGTCCTGGAGCTCACACTATCCTGACCTCTTCTTTAGGCACCCAACTACAAACTCCATTGATAGGGCCAGGGAGTTCCCATAAATGACCGAGGAGCTGAGAGGCATTAGAGAGTGTGAAGACTGTCTCCAAAAAAGAGACACACTCATCCAGAGGGGTTGCCGCCACTCAGCTGCTCCAGACGAGAAGCACTGGGGCTATCAGATCTGCCCCAACCCCTCTTTTATTACTGTAAAATATCCCAACTTTTTAACACTTGCAATTAATTCTCATATTTTTATATAAGCCAAGCCAGCATCATGTAGACCAAACACATTTGGTACACTCATGGCCTGTCCATGAGTCATCAACATGCACCCTCAGAGGGGTCACCCACCTTGCTCTGTTTCTCAGATGAAGAACCTGAGGCTAGGAGGAAGGGACAGGATTCACCCAAGGTCATTCCTCAATCCCAGAAGAGAATCTAAGGATTTGGGATTCTCTGGACTAAAGTAGGGCTTCCCAAGTGGCCAGGCCAGTGTCAGTGAAAGTCACTCAGTCGTGTCCAGCTCTTTGCGACCCCATGGACTATACAGTTCATGGAATTCTTCAGGCCAGAATACTGGAGTGGGTAGCCATTCCCTTCTCCAGGGTATCTTCCCAACCCATGGATTGAACCCAGGTCTCCTGCATTTCAGGCAGATTCTTTACCAGCTAAGCCACAAGGGAAGCCCAAGAATACCGGAGTGGGTAGCCTACCCCTTCTCCAGCGGATCTTCCCAATTCAGGAATCGAACCGGGGTCTCCTGCATTGCAGGTAGCTTCTTTACCAACTGAGATATCAGGGAAGCCCCTTCCCAGGTGATGCTAGTGGTAAAGAACCCACCTGCCAGTGCAGGTAGATGTAAGAGACACAGGTTTGATCCCTGGGTTGGGAAGATCCCCTGGAGGAGGGCACAACAACCCACTCCAGTATTCTTGCCTGGAGAATCCCATGGTCAGGAGAGCCTGGTGGGCTGCAGTCCATAGGGTCACACGTAGTCGGACACAACTGAAGCAATTTAGTATGCACGCACACATACACAGACGAAAGAAATTAACCAGGACAGGGCTCAGGCTGGGCCAGACACCTAGAGAATCCAGTCCAAAGGTGCAAGCTAAGTGTTCACGCCATTGCCCCAGCTGCCACATCAGGAACCCACAAGGAACAAAGCTGGACCTCTTCAGACCTCAGCAGAGAGGTGGTCCCACTCCCACCTCAACTCTCCGGGATGGCAGAAAGCCACTGTCTCCTCTGAGCTGCTCTGGTCACTGAGGCTGAAATCCACCCCAGGCTAAGAAGGACCAGAGGAGTGACTGCTGTTGGTCAGAGGTGCTCCAAAGGGAAATAGGACCCTGGCCAGGACAGTAGGTTGGAGAGGAGCAAAAACACACAGCAGGGAAGTGAAAGGGCAACTCCTGGGGATTCCAAACCTACTTCCTGATCCCTACCTCCACCACAACCCCCCCCCAAGTCTCCCTTCCATGGCCCCCAACCTCATCTGATGTATCTTCCACTGAGCTTTGGGACAAACCAAGGTTTGGACAGATAGTGGAGGACTCGGCGGGCCCCAGGGGTCTCCACCCACCTGGCACCCAGTAAGTGGCACCACTCTATTCTAACCCTCCTTTCAGATGTGGAGTGGATGCCCATCCACACACGGGCCTACGTGGGCACCCTGACCGGCTATGTCTACAGCCTGGGCCAGTTTCTCCTGGCTGGTGTGGCCTATGCTGTGCCCCACTGGCGTTACCTACAGCTGTTGGTCTCTGTGCCCTTTTATGCCTTCTTCATCTACTCCTGGTACGTAGGGCCCACACAGATGTGAGGGGATGAGACTTCCCCAGATCTTGCTATACACTCCACCCACAGAGTCCGAGAAGGTCAAACCCAGGCCAGGGATTCAGTGTAACTGATGGGGAAACTGAGGCTGTGGGCGGAAGGACTTACCCCAAGGTATCCAGTTCTCCAGCCTCCCCCGCTTCTCCCAGCTCTCCAGCCTGTCTGCCCTGCTCCCTTTCCCCAGCACCCAAGAACCAAGCCCCGTGTTGAGGAACAAGTCATTACCAGGCTGAGCACTGATTTGTGGTCCTAGAGAGAGGGATTTGGTAAAGTCCTGGGTGTCCAGCCTTGGAAGAAATCCCACTGCAGCCCTCTGGAAAGCCCACGCCCTACCTCCAGCCCACATGACTGGAACTGCAGCCACGCCAACACGTCCACTCACTCCTGCCCCCAGGTTCTTCATCGAGTCGGCCCGCTGGCACGCTTCCTCCGGGAGGCTGGACCTCACCCTGAGAAACCTGAAGAGAGTGGCCTGGATCAATGGGAAGCGGGAAGAGGGGGCCAATCTAAGTATGGAGGTAAGACCCCCGAGATCTCCCGCAACATCCCACCCATGGGTAAACCCAGGACTCAGAGGGCTTCTCTGAGTAAGGGGCTAGGCTGGGAGGAGCTCCTGGGGGAGCCCAAGCCCTGAGCCCTGTCCATCCCGGCAGGCGCTCCAGGCCAGTCTGCAGAAGGAGCTGACCACAGGCAAGAGCCAGGCCTCGGCCCTGGAGCTGCTGCGCTGCCCTGCCCTTCGCCGCCTCTTCCTCTGCCTCTCAATGCTGTGGTAGGCCCAGACAGACAGACCAAGAGACAAGAGGCTGGTTGGGGAAGGAGCGGATGCAGGGGGTGGAAGAAGGCACACAAGAGGGAGGAAGTCAGCAGACCAGCTGTAAGGGAGAGAAAGAGTCTTAAGGAACCAAACAACCTCCAGCCTCAATTTGCCTCTGGTCCCCAAGTGGGCACCAATCTCTCCACATTCTTCTCCTTTTATCAGCTCTGTTCCAATATGGAGACACCTCATCAAGACTGATGGCCCCCAGAGTCTGCAGAATTATATCACGAAGGCTGGCTTGCAAAACTTCTGGAGCATTTACTAGCTATGTGGTGTCTTCCAGAAACACTGGCACAGTAATAAGATGCCCAAAGCTCATCTCTGAAAGCAGACTCTGGCCAAGGTTGATACCAACCAAAAATCTTCCTTTCCCATTGCAACATTCCCTGTTACCCTTCTTATGTGCCACCCTCCTAACCCCATCATCCAGCAATCCCATGATAGTTAAGAGAAACATGGTCAGAAGGAACAAGTGAATTCTTTGTTTCCAATTTGGAGTTTGCTCCAGGTTGGGGGTTCTATCCAATAACCTGAGCTTTATTTCCTGGGCTCTTGTCATCTTGAGAAACACAATACCCATCCCAGGACTACAGACAGGTCCTGGAAAACTCTGGCCTCTCCCAACACCTTGGCCCTAATGACATGGCTTGGATATCCAAGATGAAATAAAGACTAAAACTATATAAATCCCACGTGGCAACTAAGTGAAAGTTCCCTAATATACTAGAGACACAGATTAAGAAATCTGGGGTATTAGAGGACTTTGTTGTTGTTGTTCAGTCGCTCCGTTGTGTCTGACTCTTTGCAAACCCATGAACATCAGCATGCCAGGCTCCCCTGTCCTTCATTATCTCCCAGAGTTTGCTCAAACTCATGTCCACTGAGTCGGTGATACCATCCAACCATCTCTTCCTCTGTTGTCCCCTCCTTCTCCTGCCCTCAATCTTTCCCAACATCAGGGTCTTTTCCAATGAGTCAGCTCTTCACATCAGGTGGCCAAAGTATTAGAGGACTACCCCAATATCTAAAGTGCATGTTAAATGTCAGAAGAAATATTAGCCAAGGTAGATTCCAGATTCTTAAGCAAGGTACCTGGTGCAGCTCACCTGTTTTGGATGAGCACCGCCCCCCTTAACCTTCCTAACAAACTCCATACCCCTCATCCCTCCCCACTAGGTTTGCTACTAGCTTTGCCTACTACGGGCTGGTCATGGACCTGCAGGGTTTTGGGGTCAGCATCTACCTAATCCAGGTGATCTTTGGTGCTGTGGACCTGCCTGCCAAGCTTGTGAGCTTCCTTGTCATCAACAATGTGGGCCGCCGGCCTGCCCAGATGGCCTCACTGCTGCTGGCAGGCATCTGCATCCTCATCAATGGGGTGATACCCCAGGGTGAGCACCCATGAGCATCTTGGTCCCTCGTCCTTGGCCACATCCCCAGACATGACCCAACTTCTCAACCCCCTCTCCCAAGATCCCGCTGACCTCCTCCTTTCTCTCTAGATAAGTCCATTGTCCGAACCTCTCTTGCTGTGCTGGGGAAGGGCTGTCTGGCTTCCTCCTTCAACTGCGTCTTCCTGTACACTGGGGAGGTGTACCCCACAATGATCCGGTGAGTGGGAGCTTAATGGGAGGAACTCTGGGGCAAAACATTCTCCCTGCATACAGGTCAGACCCCAGGGCACATGTCAAAAGGGGCCACCAACTGGGACAGGGTGGGAAGCCAAGAAGACACATCTCAGAGGCAATTAACTGAAGTCCCCCTAGATCTCCAAGGCACAGGTTAGAAGATCTAAATGCCATTAGAAGATCTAATCTGCCACCAAATCTAAATGCCATCTTTAAACCAAATGGTATGTCTGAAACCGAAGACCACAACCATGAAAAGGAATTTTCTATCACAAGAGCCACACTTAATAGTTCTGGTAGTTGTACAGATAAATATAGCACTACTTTTTTGAATGCCAAGGTTGGGAGGAGGGGATATTTTTGCATTAAGACACAAGAAAAACGTCTGTTTGAAAAGTAGGATGCAAAACAACAACAACAAATACAGAAGGGAAAGCAAAATTCACATGAGATATCAAAGAAATGCCAAGCTTCCCTAGGCAACTTGGAATGAGAACCCTGAGAGGTCAAGGTTATTGTCTTATACCCTCAAGCGATTTCAGCTGAAAGAACAATAGTATAAAGGCACTGTCAAACTTTTTACAAATATCAACTCTTTTGGTCCTCATTATAATCTTATGAGGTGGGTACTATGATAATTCTCATTTTCCACATAAGAAAACTGAGCCACAGAGAGGTTAAGTGACTTGCCCCAGGTCACACAGCTTATAAGTCAGGAAGCTTAGATTCAAATCCAAGCAGTTTATCTCCCTATTATCATCAAAGTTTTTAACTTCTGCTCTTATAGAGAATGTTCTTAACATATTAATATGAAGATTCCAGGTCCCTTCACCCTAGGAATTCTAATCCAACAGGTCTGTGTGGGGCTGTTGTTGTTGTTTAGTCGCTAAGTCACGTCCAACTCTTGCAACCCCATGGACTGTAGCCAGACAGGCTCTTCTGTCCATGGGACTTCCCAGGCAAGAATACTGCAGTGGGTTGCCATTCCTTTCTCCAGGACTCTTCCTGACCCAGGGGGTGAACCCATGTTTCCTAAATTGCAGGTGGACTCTACCACTGAGCCCCTTGTGAAGCCTGCCTCCCCTGTGTGAGGCTAGGGCAACTGTAAATCAAGTCCCCCAGCTGATCTGAGAACAACTGACCGAGCTCAGCTAACTTGACACCGAGGTTCAGGGAAGAAAAGAAACTTGCCCAAGGTCACATAGCAAGTTAAGGGCAGAAGCAAAAATCAATCTCCTGATTCTCTGGCCAGAGTTCTTCCCAACTTATTCTTTTTTTGTTATTATTATCTCCAAAATAAATGCCAAATTGGTTAGCTGATCAAGTGGGGAACAGAGCAGGCACCAGGGGGGTCCCCTGGGGCTGGGCCTGAGCTGCCCTGACCCCAAATTCACCTGGGACCTCGGCATTTGTGCCGGAACGCTAACTGACACCCAACCCCCTGGATCCCACAGGCAGACGGGACTGGGTATGGGCAGCACCGTGGCGCGAGTGGGCAGCATTGTGAGCCCGCTGGTGAGCATGACCGCTGAGCTCTACCCCTCCGTGCCTCTCTTTATCTACGGCGCTGTCCCGGTGGCTGCCAGCACTGCCGTTGCCCTCCTGCCGGAGACCCTGGGCCAGCCTCTGCCAGACACAGTGCAGGATATGGAAAACAGGTGGGCCCCCACCCAGGGAGAAGCAGGGACTCGACCCGGGTCACACATCCAGGCTGGGGTAGCCCTGAGACTCAAACCTAGGCCTTCTCTTCCCAGCAGGGGCTCCTTGTCCCTGTGTCCCCCCCGCCCTCCCCAATCAGCTGAGAGTCTCCTGGGGTCCCTCCTGGCTCTGGAGAGTGGTAGCTGATTAGGGCAGAGAGCTGGTAGCTGGGCACAGCTGCATGGAGAGCCCCCTGGGAGACCCCAGCTGGTCTGGGGGCTTCGTACCCAGGGCCCCACTCCCCTGTCCCCACCGCAGGAGGAGAGGGAACACGAGGAAGCAGCAAGAGGAGCTGCAGAAGCAGATGGTCCCACTCCAGGCTTCAGCACAAGCGAAGAACTGACTCTGAGCACTGAAAAGGGGCCTTACAGGGCCCTAAGGAGGAAAGGGCCCTACAGGCAGCTCACATAAGGGGGAGGGGAATCGTGGCCCAAGTGTTGGGGCTGTGGTTCAGGGAAGCAGCCCCTCGGCTCTCCCCCGCTCCTTTAATACGAAGGCCACATATTAAAAGGTTTGTTAGCAGCATCTCCCTTTGTGTCTCTTGTCTCAAACGTAACAGCCACTCCACTTCAGCGGGCACCGTCCAGTCCCCGCCCTCAGCCCCCAGGACCTAACAAACCATCCCAGACAACCTGCGAAGGATCTGTTACCTCGGCTCCCTCCCCTATCCCTCCTTCGCCCCGCCTTCCCTCCTTCCTTTTCTAACCTAAATACTTCTGAGTGTTAAATCCCTCACACGCCTGCCCTGTCTGGCTGGAAATTGACAAGGCACCAAAATGAAAGCAGCCAATCAGAGGCTTTGTTTCAGGCTCCGCCCTCTGTGAAAGCTCCTGGGAACCTCTGGCAGCAAGAGGGGGAGAAAAACCCGGAGCGGCTGTGACCTCAGCTGGTCGCTGCTCCTCTGGATTCCAGCAGGGTCCGGACTCAAAACCAGTTTGCCACTTCCAGCTCTGCAGCTGGACATTCAGCCCGCTGGCTACCCTAATCCTCCGGCAGGGCACTTCCTGGGCTTTCTTGGCGGCTCTCCCGCCTGCCGGCCCTGGGCTGGTGGAGAGAAGGGAGGAGAGGAAGAGGAAGCTGAAACCCAGCCAGAGAACCAGAGCTGAGTGCTAAGTTGGTGCCAGGCACTGTTCTAAGTACTTTGCATGTATAAACGCAGTCAGTTCTCCCAGTAACTTTCTAGAGATACGTGCAATTATCGTCCTGCATTTTACCTGATGCGACTTCATTGGAAAAGACCCTGATGCTGGGAAAGACTGAGGGCAAGAGGAGAAGGGGGTGACAGAGGATGAAGTGGTTGGATGGTATCACAACTCAATGGACATGAGTTTGAGCAAACTCCAGGAGATAGTGAAGGACAGGGAAGCTCTGCGTGCTGCAGTCGCTGGGGTCACCAAGAGTCAGACACGTCTTAGCGACTGAACAACAACAAAATTTTACAGGTAAGGAAGTCAGCGCACTGGAGTGGTTACGTAACTTGCCCAGATTCACACAGCTATTAAACTGCAGAGTCAGGGTTAGAAGCAGCCCATCCGGAAAGTGAGTGTTTGGACCCACCCCCTCTCCCCTACCCACCTCTTCCCCTCCCAACTGCCCGGGCTGTGAGTTACTGAGACTTTGGGCTCTTCCACCCCCCAAGGCTGTGCTTCTCCTTTTCCCTCCTGGGCTAGAAAAAGACAGAGAAAGGTAAAGTGGAGTGATGCGGTCACAAGGTAGGAACCACATGAAACGAGGGATAGAGGGAATTTAGGGATCACAGTCAGAAAAAGAGGGATAACCAATCACCTGCCTCAGCCAGGGAGCTCCCTTCAGGGAAGCTGGGAGCGGGGGCAGAGGTGAGGGCTAGCATGGGGAGACCATGGGAAAAGATAATCCTGTTAATGCCCACAGGTGGCAGGAAGAAGAGACCAGCAGGGCCCTCTGGTCCATGTGCTTGCTTAGTCATGCTTGCTTGCTGGCACACTGCCCCTAACACTTTCCCCTGCAGCTGACCCAGCCCCCCAGACCCTTGTCCCCTGGGGAAAGTCCACACTCTCTAGCCATAGGCATCGCCTTCCTGGTGGGATCAGAGAATTCTTGCTGAGTCAGGGCAACCTGGACAGGGGAGCTGGCTTGGAGTTCTCCTGAGAAAGCCACAAAGCCCTGGGAGAGCTCCCAGCAGCTCAGCCAGACAGACGACAGCCTGGGCAGAGCCCGGCAGAGCTGAAATCGCCATAACCCACCCCCATCCTGGAACATCTGCAGCCTTGATGTTCCCCAATGGTGCGGACATTTCCCGTGGTTGTTGTTTAGTTACTAAGTCATGTCCGACTCTTTTGCAACCCCATGGACTGTAGCCTGCCAGGCTCCTCTGTCCATGGGGTTTCCCAGGCAAGAATACTACTAGAGTGGGTTACCATTCTCCATGCTCCTCAAGAATTTCTTGACCATTATAGGACCCAGTAGATGCCAGAGTGTCAGCAGCCCCACCCCTGCTGCTATTTCTCAGGCAGCGTTGCCCTCATGAGGGATGAGAGGAACCTAGGATGGCATACTCTGCCTCTGCAGATGTAGGGGTCTTGGGACCAGTGACTTTCCCTACCCTTGCCTTGAAACCCTACTAGCAAGTCTGACAAGTTCTGACTCCTGTGGGTCTGTCAGCTCTCTGCTTAAATCACTTGATATCTATGTCTGCCTCAACCAGAAGCAGTCCCTGGCCTGCCCCAGCCACATACGTCCCTAACTGGGAAAATCCTGGTGCTGACTTAGACAGCTTACACCATCTGCACAGACTCCCTTTCCCCAGCTTCTGGCCTGAGACTTCCTGCACTCACCCCATACCCTTGTCCAAATGGAATTACACCTTCCTCCCACTCTTCAGTTACCAGTCTGTGACTTCTGACAGTGTCTCCCCAAGAAGTCACCACCCAAACACTGGCTCACAGCTCATCCCCTTGCCTTGGAGGCCCAAGTTCTAGTACCATCATGCACCACCCCAGTGGCCTCAGATGCTGTCCCCAGTTTTGACCACAAGGTCCTATCTTCAGCCAGGGTAGATAGAACCTTTAAGGCAACCCTCAATTTCTCTGCCTGCAGCCTTGAGCACTTCCCGACCAAAATGACACATTCAAGAGGTTCTGCAACTGCCTGATCCTAGTAGAGAGTTCATCAGAAGTCACCTTCCCAGGGCTCCACCCTTGCATCCCAGGTCTCACCTCTGCAACCAGGCGTCTGCTGCTGCTAAGTCATTTCAGTCGTGTCTGACTCTGTGCGACCCCATAGACAGCAGCCCACCAGGCTCCCCCGTCCCTGGGATTCTCCAGGCAAGAATACTGGAGTGGGTTGCCATTTCCTTCTCCAATGCATGAAAGTGAAAAATGAAAGTGAAGTCGCTCAGTTGTGTCTGACTCTTAGCGACCCCACAGACTGCAGCCTACCAGGCTCCTTCATCCATGGGATTTTCCAGGCAAGAGTACTGGAGTGGGGTGCCATTGCCTTCTCCAAACCAGGCGTCAGGCCACACCAAATTCCTCCATCAGGCTCCTCTCTCCACTTCCCAGGAGTTACATGGCCCCTTGGAGAGCAGATGCCCAGCCAGTTAAGCTTTCCTATCATGTGGTAGGCTGAACAATGATGGCCACAGCCTAATCCTGGAAGCCTACATAGGAAAAGGGACTTTCATGATGTGAATAAGTTAAGGATCTTGAGATGGGGAGATTGTCTTGGATTCCCTGAGTGGGCCTGACATGATCATAATAGTCCTTTTCTCGAGAGAGGCAGGAGAGCAGAGTGCTTAGTGGGAGATGTGACAAGAGAAGCAAGAAGTTGAAGAGACACAAGAGAGACCACAAGCCAAGGAAGGAATGCAAGCAGCCTCTAGAAGCTGCAAAAGGCAAGGAAATTAATTCTCCCCTGACATCTCAAAGAAGGAATGTAGCCATACCAGCACACTGGTTTTAGATTTCTGAGCTCCATAACTATAAGAAAATTAACATGTGCTATTTTTTAATATTTATTTATTTAGCCAGGTCTTAGTTGTGACGTGTGAGATCTTAGTTGTGGCATATGGAATCTAGTTTCCTGACCCAGGATCAAACCTACACCCCTTGCATTGGCAACTAGAGAAAGCCCGAGTGTAGCAGTGAAGACCCAGCACAGCCAAAGAGAAAAAAAAAAAAGTAACAAAGTGGGAAAATGGAGCTAACCTACAGAGCTGATGGTGTCACTGAGCCAGTGATTTAACCCACCTCTACTCTAATTGATGAAGATAAGAATTTAAATTTAAGTCCTCCTTACCCTCCCGCTTCTTTAAGCCATCGTAAGCTGGTTTTTCTGTGATTTGCAGCCAAAGACATCTTTAATATATTTTTACAGTTTTTTTGAAATGTAACAATTAGCTGCTCATATTCACAGTGGAAAATTTGATCAGTTTTGACAAACGCATACACCCATGAAACCATCACTAAAATCAAGACAATAAGAATATCTATTGCCACCAAAGTTTCCTACATGACCCTTTTTGTGTGGACACGACTTCTATTTCTCTTGAGCAAATATTGGGTTGACCAAGAAGTTCATATTGGTTTTTCCATAACATCTTACAGAAAAACCAGACCAAACTTTTTGGCCAACCCCGTATTAAGGAATTGAATGGCTGAGTAGTATGTAAGATGCATGCTTAACTTTTTAGGAAATAGACAGTTTTCCAAAGTGGTTGTAACAATTCACTTTCCCACAAAGTATGTGAGAGTTCCAGTTGCTCCACATCTTTGCCAACTCTTGGTATGATTTATATTTTAAATTTTAGCCATTGGAGGGAAGGTGTAGTGGTTATCTTATTGTAGTCTTAATTTGCATTTCCCTAATGACGAATGATATTAAGACATTTTTATGTGCTTATTTCCATCTAAATCTCTTCTTTAGTATATGTTCAAAACTGATTGAGTTGGAAGCTTTTTTTTTAGTGTATTCTAGAAACAATAATCCATTCCTTTAAAACTTTTCAAAGCTGTTTTGGCTAGTTTAGATACTTTGTATTTCCACATAAATTTTTAAATCTTTTGCCAGATATGTGTTTTGAAAATAATTTCTCCAAGTTTATAGCTTATCTCTTCATTTTTATAGCAGTGATTTTTAAATAGAAAAAGTTTTTAAACTTTGATATAGTCCAATTTTTAATTGATTTTTTCTTTTATAGTTCATGCTTTTTGTCTTATTTTTTAAAATCTTTGCTAAACCCTATGACACTAACATTTTCTCTTGTTTTCTTATTGAAGTTTTATCATTTCAACTCATGTTTAGATCAGTGATCCATTATGAGTTAGTTTTGTAAAGAGAATTATGGTTTATTGTTTTTTGCATATG